TCGTCAGTCAACCGTAAGTCCCTCCCCCCTGCTGCCGCCGCCGTTGCTGCTGCCGGGGATTTGTTGCATGCATGGGGGGGCGGGTTAGCGGGGCCGTTCCCAACATTTTGCGGAAGCCGGGAAAGGGCAGCCCCCTTACGCACATTTGTTCAAAGCCCGCCGCCCCCTTCCATTCCATTCGGCCCTGGCGCAGTGGGGGCGTTGCGCGCGTGCGCCGACCTGGGCGCCCCCATGGAGGCGGGGCACCCCCAGACGGGGGCGGAGTGGGGGGCGGTGTATGGGGTTGAGGTGCAGGAGATGGGGCGCATGCTGCAGGTGCGCCCCGTGCAGCGGGTCGGTCTGTGCTGCGATGGGGGGGGGGGGGGGGTTTTTTTTTTTTTTTAGGGGGGGGGGGGGGCGCAGGGCCCTGGGTGTTGTGGAGGCTCCCTGCCGCCTGCTGCAGGCCGTCCCTCGCTGCAGGCTGCCTGCGCCTGTGTAGGCCCCCTGCCTGCCCCCACCAGCACCCTCTGCTCCCGCCCCCCGCAGGAGAACGAGGTGGAGCTGCCGGGCGATCGCTTCGATGCCACCAACGCCGAGCTGCTGCGCTTCGCCAAGGCCTGCAACCTGCTCACGGTGAGGCTGCCTGCTGGCGGCGGCTCCGCCGCGGGCCGGGGCTCTGCCGCGGTGTGGGGCGGGACCGCGCCTGGCCAGCCGGAACGGCACCCCACCGCCTGCGTTGCTTCACCACCACCACCACCAGCACCACCCCACACAGACGTGCGCGCCTCGGTGCCCCCCCACCCGCAGGCCAAGACCCCCGAGCAGCGCGCGGCGGCGGTGGAGGCGGGTGTGAGCCGCGTGGTGCACACCCAGGAGTGGGCGGGGCGCCAGCGCTTCATGAGCGACCGGGAGCTGCGCCGCTGGGAGCGCCTGGTGGCCTGGAAGGCGCACGACGCCAGTGAGCGGAGCAGGCGGCCGCTGCGCTGCGCTGCGCTGCGCTGGCTCAGGCCCGCCGCCGCGGCGTCCCGTGGCTCCCTGCACGCCGGCTCTCGCCCAGCCGCCCTTCGCCGGCTGCTGCTGCCCTCGTGAGCTCGCTGCGGCACGCCCGGGTGCGGCATCCCCGCCCCGCCACCCTCTCCCCTCCCGCGCCCCTGCCCGCAGGCGGGAGGCCCATCCTGCTGGCGCGCGTGGGCCGCGCGCAGCAGCTGGTCAAGCCCGAGCGGTACGACGACTTCGCCACCGCCCTGCTCACGCTGGTGCACCGCGGCCTCACCACCCAGCTCAGCAACTCCAATGGGCCAGGGGAGCAGGTGCGCGGCGGCGCCTGGTGTGCGCTGGCATGCCAGGCGTGCTTGTCTCTGTCTCTGGAGGTTCAGGGCTGGGTGGCCAGCTTGTTCGGCCGCTGGTGTGTCGGGGCCTGCCCTGTGGGGCCTGTGCAGCGAGGGCCGCAGGCTGGTCGGGGCCTGCAGCCTGGGCGCCCCCGGCCCTTCCGCATACATGTAGTTGGTTGCTGCACCCTCACAGCGCTCCTGCGCCTCCCTCCCCCTCCCCTCCCCAGATGGTGGTGGTGCTGGACTGCCGGGGCGGCAGCAGCATAGGCCTGACGCGCCACATGGGGCTGCTGAAGAAGCTGGCGGTCACCCTGAACCAGCACTATCCGGTGAGAGGCGCCAGCTGGCTGTGCGGGGGAGGGAAGGGGTGGCGTGGGAGGGGGGTGGGTGGAGGGCAAGGGGTGGTGCGGATCCGGTGCGGATCCTCGCGTGTGCTCACCCCCGGTTGCACCGGCGCGTGCCGCTCCTCCCCGGCAGCCGGGAGAGTGCGGCCTGCCCGCCGCCTCTCACCGCGCGCGCTGCCCCCCCGCCTGCCCCCTGCGCCGCAGGACCGCCTGTTCCGCCTGCACCTGCTGGAGCTGCCGCTGCTGCTGCGCTGGGTGCTGCACGCGGTGACGCCGCTGCTGCACCCCAACACCCGCAGCAAGGTGGTGCTCAGCAGCATGAGCGACCCGGGCCTGCCCGTCACAGTGGCCTTCCTGTCCAATAGGTGCGGCACTGGCGGCGCTGGTGGTGGGCCGGCCTGCTCCCCTGCCTGCTGCCCGCGCCTCGTGCTGGCGCCTTCGTCCGGCGCGCCGACTCCTATGCTGGCAGGCTGCCTGCCCAGCCCCGCCCTGCTGCTGTCCATGCCCCTCCATGGCTGCCGCCCAGCCCGCAAACCCCACCCCACCACGCACATGCCGACACTCACCCCGACAGGTCCCCTCCTTCCTTGCAGGCGCTCCGTGGCCAAGCCCAGCTCCATGAAGCGCAGCATCAGCAACTGCTCCTTCCCCAGCAGCGGTGACGCCACGCCCGCGCTGCTGTCGCCGCAGCAGACCCCCAGCGCCAGCCTGCTGCCCGCTATGGTGGCGGCGGCCACCGCGGGCATGGCTGCGGGCGCTGAAGCCGGCACCAGCACAGCAGGCACTGCGTCGGGGCAGCAGCTGGGGGATGACGACATCCCCACCACGCCTCCCCCAACCCTCAAGGCGCCACATTCCCCTCGGGAGGTGGCCAAGCCGCGCCAGCAGCAGCAGCAGCAGCAGGCGGGCCAACAGCAGCAGCAGCAGCAGCAGTGGGCGGTGGCGCTGGGGCCGGAGGCGGGACAGCCACGCCCCACGCCGTCCTCGCCGTTTGTCTGCAAGACACCCGCGCAGCAGGCGCAGCAGCAGGCGCAGCAGGCGGCGGCGGCCGTGCAGGGGCTGGGGCAGCCGCCGGCGGCAGCCGTCGGCAGCCAGGCCGGCGCCGGCGCCGCCGCCGCAGCAGCAGGGGATCGCGCGGCAGGGCAGCCGCCGGTATCGGCGGCCGCCTCGGCGGCCCAGGGCATCACCAGCCACGCCGTGCCTTGGTCTCCTGGCATGCAGTCCCCGGCTGGCGCCCTCAGCCGCGACAGCAGCTGCGGGGACGAGCCGGTGTCGGCGGCGCGGGCCAAGGCGGCCGCCGACGCGGTGCGGGAGCTGGAGCAGTGGCAGCAGCAGCACGCGCTGCAGGCAGGGACGCAGGCCGGCAGCGGCAGCCGCGACGGCGCGGGCGGGCTCACGGGCCGGCTGGGCCAGCCGCAGCTGCAGCTGCAGCGGCTGGAAAGCGCCGGATCCTCTATCAGCCTGCCGCCCCTGGCCTCTGCCCTGTCGGCCCCGCCAGCCATGCCCACGCCGCCGGCCGCCTCCCCAGGCAGCGCCAGCAGCGGCAGCGCGCTGGGCAGCTGGCTGGGCGGGCTGCTGCCGGGCCAGTGGGGCGCCGCCGCCGCCGACCAGGCCGGCCAGCAGCAGCGCCAGCGGCGGGTGCGCCGCCAGCCGGTGCACCGCCTGCCGCTGGCCGGCATGCTGGCCGGCAGGGAGGGTGGCGGCGGCAGCGGCGGCAGCACGCCGCGCACGCCGCAGAGCGGGCGCCCCAAGATGGTTGGCGGCCTGGTGGAGCTCCCTGAGCGGACCGGCAGGTGGGGAGCCGCCCTTGCTGCCGCCTTTCCCCTGGCAGGTCCTGTGTTGCTGCCGCTGGCAGGCTTGTTTCGCCGCCGCACACCTGGTGCACCTCCCTGCTGCCTGCCTGCTCACCCTGCCTGCCTGCCCCATCGCCGCCCCCGCAGGCTGACGCCCGGCCGCTGCCAGACGCCGCGCAAGAGCAGCCTGCGGCGCAGCGAGTCTGCCGACTCCCTGCCCACCTCCCGCAGCAGGCTGGGCAGCCACCCGCTGCGCCGGCAGTCGTCTGTGTCATGGGCGGAGGAGCTGGAGAGCATCAAGGAAATCCACGCCCGCGAGTCGCCGCCCCACGGCGCCCTGCGCACCCGCCTCGCCTCCGTGACGCACCCGCAGCTCCTGCTGCTGGCCTGCATCCTGTCGCTGGTGATGGCGGCAGCGCTGCAGCGCCTGCTGCTCACCCTGACGCTGTGAGCCTGTCTGTCGAGGGGCGGCGGCGCGGCCGGCCGCCGAGCTGAGCGGCCGAGTGATCCTGCTGTGAAGGCAATTTTCTCCCTGTGTGCGCCTATTCTTGCGATTCTTACGATTCAGCTCCCTCACTTGCACTCTGTATCAACTCGACGAACACTGGCTGTGATTTTTTGGTGGGTGCATTGGAACCCACGCTGTAACGCGAATGCCGACGCCAGCACCTGTCCCGCTCTGTCGGCGCCCTGCTGGCTCCAGCATGTTCGAGTGAGCTCGCGTTCTTAACACGCCTGCACCATTTGATCTCTTGTTTCCTGATCCCACACGCCATCAGAGACGGCTGAGCTGTTTGGTGCCCTCGTTTTTGAGCTGAAGTATACCCCTGGACAGGGAGTGCCCGGCAGTCCCTCAAATCAGGGCATTCAGGGCATGCGATCATCAAGGGAGAAGCTTGTTGTGCGGGAGGCCTCCTCCTCGGCCTACGAGGGCTCAGAGGGCGACTCCCCTGAAGCCAGGCTCGAGCCGCAGGGCTGGGGTGGGGCCAGCCAGACGCGCGGCGCTTGGGAGCACGCCTGGGCGGCAGACAGGCGCGCCTCCCGCGACAGCGAGCCCCCAGCTGGCGGCAGCTGCTGGGGCGGCAGCGGCGGCGGCAGCGGCGCGTTGGAGGAGTGGGAGCAGGAGGTTGAGCTGGGCATGATGTCGCCAGAGAGCCAGAAGCGCGAGCGCCGGCGCATCGCCAACAGGGACTGCGCGCGGCGCATTCGCCAGCGCAAGACGGTGCGGGGGAGCCGCGGGCAATGAGCCTGGGCACTGCTGGCTGCTGCCAGGGTGTATCGGCGCCTGCTTGGCGGTGTGCTGGCACCTGCGCCGGTGCGAAAGGCTTCACACCTGCCCCGCCCGATCCGTCCTGCCTGCCCTGGCGCAGGCGCTGGTGGCGGAGCTGACTGCCAGCGTGGAGCTGCTGCAAGCCGACAACAGCCGCCTGCTGGGCACGCTGACGGGTGAGGGAGGGGCCAGGGTGCATTGGCAGCATGCTCCTGAGCCAGCTGCCTGCTGGGTGTGTCGGAGCTGAGAGGGACTGCCGGGCAGCAAATCTTCAGAGCTGGCTGGATGCCTGGCCTGTGTGCCCGCTGGTTTGACCGCGCCCCGACGGCTGCCGTGCTGCAGAGGTGACGCGGTGCTGGCGCGACACTACCATAGAGAACTGCGAGCTGCGCAGCCAGATAGCGCTGCTGCAGGCCGGCGGCAGCGCCAGCGGTGGCAGCCACAGCGGCGGCAGCGGCGGCAGCGGCTCTCTGCTTGCGAGCCCCACGGGCGATTTGGGGCGGCATCTGCTGTCGCCGGGCTGGCCATCCCCCATGGTGCTTTAAGATAATCCTGTAAATCAGAGTTGATGTGGCTTACAAACTGGCTGCTGTTGCGCCAGCTCTGGGCAAAGCAGCGGGCACACCGCAGCGCAGCGGGCGGTGACATCAGCCTGCGCCACAGGATGTGTATCGACACGCTGGGCGCCTGGCCAGCTCTCCTTTGGCACGCGCTCATTTGTGCTCTGCTGCACCTGCCGGTGCGCTGAAAGCATGGCTGAGCAGCAGCAGAACGGCGAGGATGGGGGCTGGCTGTCGGGCGCCTGGAGCCTGGGCCAATCCATTTACAATGCTGCGGCCAACACGGTCAACAGGTGGGCTGCTCTGCTGCACGGGAGCCAGAATTTGATAGGGTGGCTGCAGTTGAACCTGTGCAGGGAGCGGCAGGTGGGGAGCGCCATCCCAACCGCCCGTGTGCATCGATTTACTCCCAGGCAGCAGCGCCCCTGTGCGCCTGCCTGCCAATTGGGTGAGCCGGCATGCCCACCGCCCTGTCTGCCCGCCCCTGCTGCAGCGTGATGGGGTATGATGATCTGGACGTTGTCGACCCCACGGCCGGCGAGGCCACATCGGGCAAGGAGGCTGCTATCAGCGAGGTGCGGCCGCCGCCGCCCGCCGCCCAGCCGCCGCCCTTCTGCCTTGCCTCGCTCCTGTGTGCTGTGTTGTGGGATGAGGCCAGCATGTTTTACGGCCATAGGCAGAAGCGCGGCATTTCCAATTGGCCAGAGGGGGCAGGGACGCAGGGCTAGCCACGACAGCAATTTGGCGGCGATGGCAACCGATCTGCGGATCCGCGTGTCGCCGCCGTTGCCCCCCCCGGCAGGAGCGTGCCAAGGCCTTCAGCAGCTACCGCGACTATCTGGGCAAGGACATCACCTCCCTGGTCATCCTGCCCGTCTGGATCATGCAGCCCTTCACCATGCTGCAGGTGGGTGCGCGGGTGCTGCCCGCCCGGTTGCGGGCCCGCTGCGGGGCACCATCACCCGCGGAGCAACAGCAGCACGCACCTCCGGCGCCGCGCGTGTCTGCCTCCCCGCCTCATTCCCGCCTGCGTCCCCGCCGCTCCCTTCTTGCTGGTGTGCCCCTCCTCCTGCTGCAGTGCATGGGTGAGCTGATGGAGTACACAGACCTGCTGGATAAGGCGGCAGTGACCGAGGACCCTTACGAGCGGTGAGGGGGGCAGGCAGGAAGCCTGGCTGGCCGCCTGGCTGCACACGTTGCATCCTGGCGTGGGACTGGAGCCAAACCGGGGCTAAAAGTGTCGGTGTTCGTGTTTCGGTGCCGCGGTGGCGTGCACGGCCCGACCGCCCGCCCCTGCCTGGGCGTGCAGGCTGGCGTGGGTGGTGGGTTTCACGATGGGACCCTTTGGCACCATCGAGCGCCCCTGGAAGCCCTTCAACCCCATCCTGGGGGAGACGTTTGAGTATGGCAAGCCCGACAGGGGCATGAAGTACATAGCGGAGCAGGTGGGAAGCGGGCGTGTGGCGTGTGTGGTGGTGGTGGTGGTGGTGGCGGTGGCGCCCTGCATGTCTGTGTATGCTGCGGCCTGCATGTGTGTGGTGCATGCTGCGGCCTGCGTGTATGCATGTGTTGCGCGATACAGCGTGCGGGCACGCCTCGGCAGGGCAGCCGGTGTAGCGTCGTCGGGGCAGCGGCCTGGACCGACGGCCGCGCCGCCGCCACGCCGCCGCCCCGTGCCTGCCTGCCCGCCCTCCGCTCCGCTCCGCCGCAGGTCAGCCACCACCCGCCCGTGGGCGCGGGTCACGGCGAGACGGAGCTGTGGACCTATGACATTGTGTCGGCTCCCAAGACGAAGTTTCTGGGCAACAGCGTGGAGGTGTACCCCATCGGTGGGCGGGGTGGAGGTGTGGTGTGGGCTGGTATGGGGTGGGGTGTGGGATGGGGGGGATGATGCAAGCAGAGCGCTGCCGGCGCCAGGCAGCAGCGTCGCGGATGCGCAGCGGGCGGAGGGTAGGTGCGCGGGTGGCGGCAGCAGCGGGGGGCCACGCGAGCACGCCGCCGGCCGGCACCAGGAGCAGCAGCACCCGTCTGCCTGCCTGCCTGCTTAGCGTGCGTTGCGCGTGGCATGCAGGGCGCACCCGCATCCGGCTCAAGCCCACAGGCGAGGTTT